ATCGATAATAGATCAATAGGTTTGTTGTCTATTCCACCGTCGAGGGTGTCCTTCACAGATTTCAGTTAAATTTTAAAAAAGGGTCTCATAGACCTTTGTGCGCAATAATTGTATAATAGGTACACATATGTAAAACTTTTATTGACCCATTCAGTAAAAATTTGTTTAAGAAAGGTCCTCACAATATTATATTATCAATAGGCCACAATAAAACTTTGTTTACACAACGAGACACAGATGCAGATGTTGGGAAAGAAAATTTAGAACAAAATTTGTAAAAGATTTATGCAACAAAATAGTAATCAGTATGAAACAAATATCTTACTGCTAATAATTTGATCAAAAATAATAATTCTGGGCATAAATACTCATTTGCCAAATATCAAGTAATAAACGTTAGTTGTTAATGTTAACTTTTGGAAGAACAAATTTGCCAAAAAATCCGATTTGCTAGTTTCATAAGTCCATGTCATTCTGAATCGTTTGATACCCAAATTGGCAAATTATGTGCATATAATTTTGATAAATGATTTATTTATTTTATTAGTACAGCTTAAATGCTACAAGGGATATACTAAATAAGTGTCCTCAATTTTTGTTGAATTTTCCAAAGATTCAGAGTTGCAGTAGAGTTTTATAATGTTAGATAATATTATAGATAATTATATATATATATATATATATATATATATATTTCCTAAATTTCCAGGTTCATCGTCTATTACCCAACTCTCCGTCCATCTTGTATCTGTTTGCTATTGTGAAGACTTTTGTTAAATCTTTTAATCGCATTAAGAAAATATTAGGTCATAAAATTCAGGACAGAAAATACAATAAATTTGTATTTGTCCTTTTATGGGTCACTGGAATAAAAATATTTGACAAAATTTTAAATTAGATCAAACTTGTTACATTTTTGAAAAGTCAATTATCAATGTGACTTTTTAAATGGCTAATTCATTGTTCATAAAAATTGCAACAAAATAATTTTTCATGTGCTAATAAGCAATTTCATATAATAATAGACATATTGAAATATAATATTTGCACTTAACACAATCGTAATATAAGTAGTGCATTCTGTAAAGCTTCTTGAAATAACTCTATTTTATTGCTTTCCATCGATCATTATGAAAATTAACAACAAAAACACAATTTTTTATTAATTTTTGTAACAAAAGAGTAATTTTTTTCATACATCATGCAATAATAGATATATTTAAAAAAAATATATTTAATGTGCAAGGTTGTAGTACAAACCGTGCATCCTGTAAAGCTCCTTAAAATTGCCCTCTTTTATTTTTATTTGTAAACTTTTTTATTTTAAATACAACCTTTAGAGTCTTAAATCTATATGACTTTTTGAATAAACAATTTATTTTTTATAAAAATTGTAACAAAATGATAAATTATGCAATTTCATGTAATAATAGACATATTAAAAATATTATATATATATATACAGTTTATAAGGTTAAATGAAAATTAAATAAAAACTTTACTAAAAAGCACAGCAAGCTAATTTGTTAAAAGTTCTGACTAGATTGATAAAACTGTTGATTTTAAAAAAAATTGCACTATTATTTGTACAATATAATTTTTTTTTTTAAATACAAATATTTAAATTTTAAAAATTAATTAAAAACTTAACCAAAAGCCAAAGCTCTAGCAAATTTGATAACAACTAGCTTTGATTAGATTGGGAAAAACGCTGATTTTTCATAAATTTTGCATCAAAGTATATATAAATTTATATTTATATTCAAAATATACACACTGAAGTACAAAATATAAAAATTACAAAATTCTTGGACAAATATTTAAATTTTAAAAACTAATAAAAACTGAACTAGAAATCAAAATAAAAAGCACAGTTAACAAATTTTATAACAACTAACTTTGACTAGGTTGGGAAAAATGCCAATTTTTCAAAAATTTTACATCAAAGTATATATAAATTTATATTTGCATTCAAAATATACACACTAAAGTACAAAATACTAAAATTACAAAATTCTAGGACTAATATTTAATTTTGGAAAATTAAATCAAAAAGTAAATACATACTAAATTAAAAAGTGAAGCAAGCAAGTTGAACTAAAAAGTACTTCGAGGTTATAATGAAATATATATTCTATTATATATATATATAATATATATATATATAATATATATATATATATATATTAAAACTAAATTATTTTTATTACATATCCATTACATTATATTCCTATTACTATTTTAGCATAAACAAACCAATTTCCATCTTACGTCAAACAAACATTTTAATTGTCACACAGAAGATTTTATTTTATTTTATTAAAAATTTTATTACCCCAAAATTTTATTTTATTATTATTTCTTCTAACAGTACTTCTTTTTCTTTTGCAGGTAAGTTTTGCAGTTTTGGCCGAAGAAGAAGGTTTTAGCAGCAAAAGGTAAGTTAATCTCATTTCTTGTCTTTTGTATCGAAATCTGTAGCACAAATATACATCTACCTGAAATTAATTCGACAATAATGTAAAATTAAAGGAATAACTTTAAGAAAAGACCTGGGTATGGAATAATGGACACTGGGTAATAGTAATACGGGTCTTGGTGTAAGAAATTTGTAAAAAAAATTTTGAAATTCATTTATTTGGTACGTTTTTATTAGTAAATTCAACTTTGAGACCACTGGGCTTTCACCGTTCTACGTATTATATTGCAAACATATTTAATATGTTTTATTAATATTACTAATATTGATTTTTATTACATTTTAATAACATCCCAAAAACCAAAAAATCAGATTTGCTAATTTTGTATTTTCTTGACGTTTCAAGTCATTCTAAATCGTTTGAGATAAAATTATAAAACTGTACGAGCTACAATTCAATTTTTTGATATTTTAAATAATCATTAATAACTATCGTTGAAAAATAAATATCCTTAACTTTTAGTATGAAATATTTAATTAATAATAATTAAATTAAAATTTATAAATAATACTAGTGATACAAACAGAGAGCTCATTAATTTTTTTAAACTTCCATACTTTTTATACATATTTGAATTTGTTCTATTATCTTTTAAAATAATTTATTATTTGTTTTCACCGTTCCTTAAAATTACAAAAAATGTGTTTTTTTTTTACTTTTTGATGACACACATGTGTGCCGAAACGTATTTTAAACACAATTTTATTATATTTCATAAATGTTTTATAAAATTACAAAAATGTGTTTTTTCTTTGTTTTGATTTCATTATATTTCATAAATGTTTTAAAAAATTACAAAAAATGTTCTTTTTGGCGTTAAATGATGTCACAAATTGTGTGTCGAAACGTACAAAAAATAAAACGAATTAATTTTAAAAGTACTTGTAATATATTTTGTTCCCACTGTTACTTAAAATTAATCATTAAATAAATTTTTTATTTTGTTATACTGCTGATGTGTTCCGAAACGTACAATAAAATTATTAATTGTAGTAATCAAGGTATTTTGAAAATAATTTTATTACGTTTTGTTCTCTCTGCAACTTAAAATTACAAAAAAATATTTTTTGTGCTTTTTATAAAATGTTGATGACACAAATGTGTGTCGAAACGTACAAATAATTGGTTAAATATCATTATTATGAATTGTTTTGAAAATAATTCTATTAACTTCCCGTAGGGTAGTTATAGTAGTTGGCCGAAGTCGAAAATGAAAATTTTTGCATTTCTCGACGTTTTGAAGGTTTCTGAACATTTTGGCTAAGCACAGTCTAAGCGCCACTCTGGTGCAAATGTTTACCCAAGTGCGTTTAGACTGTTTATGTCTAGAGCACTTTTCCAATTTTGTGAAAAAAACGATTAAAAAATGTGAAAATGCTGCCAAGCTAAGCACAGTATAAGTGAAAATGTCGCACAGAATTTTTTGCAAATGCGTTTAGACGGTGACGGAGCACTTTTTCAATTCTGTGTAATTAATTAGGCAACTTAGGTAGTTTTTTTGAAATTAAATTTGAAATGAAATGATGATTGTTAATGTTCTGGAGATTGATTGATTTATTTATGATTTACATTTGATTTGCTCAGATATAACAATAAGGTAACAAAAATAATGAAAGTTACAGTATTTGTTGTAATAATATATTTGAAAACGTTTAAAATTTCTCGAATATTTTATTACGGTACGGGCAATTCTAGCAATTTGCCTTAAGGCACGATGCCATACACCACTAGTTGTGTTTTGTTTTCGCTGTTACTTAATAATACAAAAAAATTGTTTTTCGAGTTTAACTTAAAATTTTGATGACACACATGTGCGTCGAAACGTACAAAAAATAAAAAATTTAAGACTTAACTTAAAGTTTACTTTATTAAATATTGAGGCAAAATAAAATACTCTCAATTTACCATATTTCAAAGTTATAAACAAAAGCCAACCCAAACGATCTAATTACCAATTCATCATTTTTCCATTTTTCCATACAAAACCCACCAAAAACCCATTACGCATCTATTACAATTAAAATCAATCGTGCTACACCCACTTTTCATGAACGATCGTTTTTCATTGGTCGAACCGCGGCCAATAGACGCTCCTCTTCGGCGGCCATTAGTCCTCAATTCGCGCCGCCATTGGTCAGACGACACCCATTGTCGTGAGCGAGCGAGATGGCACACATGCTCCGAAACGTAAGTTGACAGTGATAAGATTACTTACATACGGAGACAAATGGTCGAAGTGTTCGGACGTAATGGAAATAAATAGAATTCGGAATTAAATAGAATATTAATTAATATTAATTCGGAATTAAATAGAATATGAATTAATATTAATTCGGAATTAAATAGAATTTTAGTGAAATTGTGAAAAGTGGTTAAGGATAAGGGTTAAAGGATAAAAGATAATGTTAAGGACAAAGTGTAACATATAGTGATTGAATTAAAGGATTAACTTTACCATGATAAATTGACTTTAGTGCCTAATAGTGTTTCCAATCCTTTACCCTTGTGTGAATCTTTACCATGGTATCATACCACACAGCCCTAGGCATGTATCAAAAACCGCCCTCAACCGGCAGCGCGACTTCATCCCCCGGTGTCGGTTCCACGTACCACCAGACCGCCACAGGTCACCACATGGGCCACCACATGATGGCAACAGGTCACCACACAATGCCACACCACCATTCACCACCGTCACCATGGTACCACCATCCCCCATACGGCGTAAACTCCTCAAACCAACAACTGTACCAATACCAGCACCACCAAGCCCAGTACCTACCGAATTGTTTACACGAATCCGGGGTGAATTCTTCGAGCGAGCAACAAAATTTTACAAACCTGTATCATAATTTGTATCAACAACAACAGCCCCAAAATTGGGGCTCCGATTTCCATTTCGCGGAGCAGCAGAATTTGGCTGGTGGTTCGGCTTTGCCCCTAAATGGTGGTAATATTGTTCCCTCGCCTCCGATTACAGTGAGTGGTGGTAGTGAGATTTCTTCGCCCGGTGGAGGTACTAATGGAGATGTTGACGAGAAACCTGGTTCTGGAGGGCGGTTGGAGGTTCCTGGTGGAGGCGCCGGCGGTGCCAACAGGGGCGCTTTGGTTAGAAGTCCTTATGAGTGGATGAAGAAGCCGTCGTATCAGAGTCAACCTAATCCAGGTAATAAGAATATTTTTTATATAGTATTTAGTCGAAAAATGAAAGTTTGGACCACTGGGCTTTCGCATCCCTACATGCATTTTATATTTATTTTTAATTGAATAAGTTATTTATATAGTAATTTATTGAACATAACTTTGTAAACTTCCTGGAGTAGAAGTTTATATTTGACACCAAAATTGACAGAAATATTTGTTTGTTAACCAAATTTTGACATTCTGCCATCAAGCGGCATTTTTAGACATATAATTTTTTAAACTTTTTGAAAGAAGGTCTTGAACGTTTTTGCCAAATTCGACTTTAATTTTTTGCTTTTTTTTGACGTTTCAAGTCATTCTGAATCGTTTGACACCAAAATTGATAAAAATCTTGAATCAAAATTGTAATTTGTACCTGAATTCTTAAATTGTTTTGGAAAATTACTGTCAAGTTGATTTTTTGACATATTTTTTTTCTTTCTGAGGAATTTATGTTGTCACCAGAAAATCCGATTTACCAATTATTTGCATTCTTGACATTCTAAGTCGTTCAGAATCGTTTGACGCCAACACCAAAAACAAATTTGTGTATGGGTTAATTTGATCTTTGCCCAGTGTTTTCTCAAAAACGGCTGAACCGATTTCAAAAATTCAAAAACCATCTCATGTAACTTGATAAGGACTCGTATCTGTTAGTTTTTTGCAAAGATCGGTCGAGCCGTTTCATCATAATTTACAAGAAAGTACGAAATTAGCTGTCAACTTTTTCGCTAAAAATCCTACATCGATTTTGAAAATTAAATAACTGTTTTAATTAATTTTAAGTGTGATTTTTGACACATGTTTTTTTTAATTTTCTAAACTATAGTTTACGTTTTTGTCAGAAACTCCAAACTACTAATTTTCTGCTTTTTCGACGTTTCAAGTCATTCAGAATCGTTTGACACTAATGACAAAAATAAATAAATGTAAGTGATAAAGTTTGACTTTTCGTCGAAGTTTTTTGCAAAACGGCTGAACCGATTTCAAAAATTGAAAAACCATTAGATATAACTCGATAAGGACTCACATTGATTAATTTTGTACAATGATCTGTCAAGCCATTTCTTCAGAATTAACAGAAAGAGCACTATTGTTCGCCGTCAAAAATTTTGAACCGAATTCGAAACTTGATTGAACGTTTCGAAAGAGTATTTTGAAACGCGATTTTCTTCAAAACGGCTGAACCGATTTCAAAAATTTAAATGCCATTCAATGTACTTCGATAAGGATATATACTAGTTAATTTTGTGCTAAGATCGGTTAAGCCGTTTCTTTATAATTAACAAAAAATTTCACATTCATTCACATTAATTAACAAAGAATTTCATATGACTTATATAAACCTAAGATTGCGATGTGATCTTTTGTTAACATAAATAGTATGGATTTTAGATTTTTTTTATAAATTTTTGTATATATATATATATATATTTGTATAACGAATTCACACTTTTGAAAATGAACGTCAAATATTTTCGTATCGTCCACATTTCACATTCTTGTGAAATTGCTTTATTCTTTTAATATTTTTTTAAACAAATACTTGTACTAAATATTTGTTCAAAACTTTTCGGAGACAACTTGGAAAGACATATTTAAAATAATAGGTAAAAATATTATTTTAATTAGTCTTTGAATTTAAAAATTAATTTGAAAATTCCATGAATCATAATTGATATATTTTTTTATGATACTTCATACAAAATAAAATTTGTATAAAATTTAAATAAAATAATTAAAATATTAATCAATTTTTGAATGCTCTGTTAATATAAAAAAATACTAAAATCAACCAATTTTATATACAAATTTAAAAACAAGAGCCAAAATTTGGATTAAAGTATTTTAGTCTAATAATAATAACTCATTTTTTAGTGTTATAATTTATAACAAGAAACGTTATAAAGTGTAAACTATACTTGAAATTTATTTTATTAATTTTGATGAGCTTGTCAGGGTGTATTAGCCCAAAAATGTCATGTGTAATTATATATAATAAAATAATAAATACTAAAAAAGTAATAACTTTTATAACAGAATTTAAAAATATTGATTTTTTAACAAAATTTGAAAGTAATGGCAAAAATTTGAAGTTTGAAGTTTGAAAGGCTCTTCAGGTCGTATATCTCAAGTTAAGGTACTAAAAATGTTGTATAATATTCTTCAATATGTCTATTAAAATATAGAAAAAAAAAAATACATATGTTCTTGCAAAAAAAAATAGTAAAAAAATTTAAAAAAAAAGTGGCATTAACTCATACTAAATCTCATGAATAAAAGATGATTTTGGTTTGGCAAAGTTTGAAGAGCTCTTCAGGTCGCATTTTGTATACTACAAGGCTATACATTTACACAATATTCTTTAATATATCTACTAATGTATAAAATTTTAAAACATTCATATATTCTTGCAAAAATTAGTTTTAAATAACTTTTACTTGCATATTTCATAGTATGTCTCACGAATTAAATTTGATTTTGTATATTTTGAAGAGCTCCTCCGGTCGCATTTTTTATACCACATGTCTCTAAATTTCACACAATATTTTTTAATATGTTTACTGAAATATAAAATAAAAAAATTGATACTTGTTCTTGCAAAAATTTAATAAACATGCAACTTTTGCTCTGTGGTACATTAGTTACTATATACTGCTCAAATATCATATATTTTATAAATTTTGAAGGGCTCCTCAGGTTACATCAAGTATCCTAAAATACTACAAATTTCACACAAAATTCTTCAATATCTCTAAAAACATATAAAATAAAAAAATTAGTACATTCTCTTGCTAAAATTCAAGAAAAATACAATTTATTACATATAGTACATAACACATAGACAAATTGTATCACAAAACAAATCTAAAAAATATTTAATACAAGTAAAAATATTGTATATACGAGTACATATATGTATATATACACTATGTGTATATCTATATATTTAATCCAATACAAATATATAAACAAATTAATTATTATTACAATCGCCATAAAGTTTATAGTACGAACTAAATTGTTATATGATATTTGTGTGTGGCAGTTTATAAATTTTACGAAGTCTGTAAAAATGACAGATTTTAAAGCATATGTACTCAAACAACTAATTTGTCATCTGAAGTAATAAATTAATAAATAAAAAAATATTTGGAAACGTAACTTGGGAACTAACCAAATTAATAACAGAAATTTCTGAACTTATAATAAATTATTTTCATTATATATTTCCTGAATTTTTAAAATTCAGCGAAATTCATAATTTTATCGTTAACAAATAAGAACAAAATTTAATTTATTTTTTAAAAACATTTTTTAATTAACAAACTATTTTTTTTAACAAATTTATTACCCAAGCATTATTTTTCTTTGCATTTTTTGCACGAAAATGAAATTTTGTAACCTAAGTTCAATTTTAATTTTCCTCAAAAATTTTAAAATTTAGTAATCGTAAATTAGGTTAAATATTAGTTGTATATAAATTACTAAAATTTACAATTTTTTCAAACTACTTTCTAACAAACTTATGACTTTTTTTAATAACTTTGTAACTAAAAACACTATTTTTCTATTTTGCTCTCAGTTGCTGAAGCCACACTACTAGATCTTGCAACCACCGAAATCGGTAAAAATATTAAAATAATATTATAACTAATTATATTAAATAGTTTTTTATACTTTATTTATATTTAAAAAAAAATAATTTGTTTTAGTACTGTCGAGTGCGAGTTTTTTTTAAAAAAATAATTCTTATGCATGTTGCACGAATAGTGGTTTTGAAAAAAGTAGTTTGAGCAAAATAGTATAAAATAGTATTTTATTTGTAGATTTTTTTTGCAAAATGTAGTACGTGGTTGTATGATTATAATTCGAGTAATATATATATATATATATATATATATATATATATATATAGAAATTAATTTTTAAAAATGTAACCAAGTACAAACGTCTTAGTTTAAAAAATGTTACATTTTGGCAATTCAAAGTTTGTACATTTTTTTCCACACAAGTTTGTTCTAAAAGTTTCAAACTGTTATATGCACAATTATAGATAATTTTATCAGCTTTCTAATGGTATATATTATTATTATTAAATTTAATTAAATTATTACGTAATAAATATAAATTTGAACCAAAGCGTTGAAGCTCATATGGGGTGCTGTGAGAAAATTTTTATTGATTAAGGGTTTTATTTACACATATCGAAAAATAATCTCAAGACAAAATTTCACTTACACCTATTTATTTTAAATTTTTTGCTCCCGGTGACTTCAATGCTCATCGACAAGAAACCTGTAACAAATTTTCTTTTATAACCTGAAGAATAACGGTACCTCATCTTTCTGGTACCTTTTACCTTTTAAGGTCATAATCCAATTTCTTTAAGGTAAAGAGATTATGTCTAATAAATAATTTTATTACCTAGAAAAACATTTAATCCCTAAATGGGATTATTTACAGAGTATAAAGGAATTTACACAACACACAAATTTCGGCGATAAAATATAAAATTCAAGTTTTTCGCATTAATTTTATTATTAGCAAATGTAACGGTGTGGGGTAAATTTATTCCTGGAAATAAATGGAATAGACACAAAAAATGGGAATTATAAATTTTATATTAAATTTTTAGCTTATTACACAAATTACATTTTAAATTTATTAAGTTTAAATTTTATATCCCAATATATATTTAACATAAAATCTTGTACATTTTTCACAAATTTCTAAGACCTTATGTTAAATATAAAAAATATAAACAATACAATTTTAGTACAAAAAACACAAATAAATAATTCTAATACAAATCAATACTTATAAAACCACCTTAAAAGCCCACGCAAGATTCAAAAATTTATATCTCTGTATATAGAGTATTTACAATGCTCTTATTCGCACAAAATATTCTTACAGGTTTATACTTTACGCAAAAATTTAAATCAAATCAATTTATGTACTTTTTCAAAAGTTATTCACAATATTTCAACGCAATGTTAGCTAAGAAATCGCGTGCTTCGCCCAGCCGACATTATGCATATATTCATAACCGCCTTATTTGATGCAAGTTTCAAAAATTTATATCTCTGTATGTACAGTATCTACAATGCTCTAATTTTCACAAAATATTCCTCCAGGTTTAAACTTTACGCAAAAATTTAAATCAAAGCAATCTATGCATTATTTCAAAAGTTAATAATAATATTCCAACGCAATGTTTGCCTAAGAAATCGCGTGCTTCGCCCAGCCGACATTATGCATATATCCATAGCCGCCTTATTTGATGCAAGTTTCAAAAATTTATATCTCTGTATGTACGGTATCTACAATGCTCTAATTTGCACAAAGTATTCCTCCAGGTTTAAACTTTACGCAAAAATTTTAATCAAAGCAATCTATGCATTATTTCAAAAGTTAATAATAATATTCCAACGCAATGTTCGTCTAAGAAATCGCGTACTTCGCCCAGCCGACATTATGCATATATCCATAGCAGCCTTATTTGATGCAAGTTTCAAAAATTTATATCTCTGTATGTACGGTATCTACAATGCTCTAATTTGCACAAAGTATTCCTCCAGGTTTAAACTTTACGCAAAAATTTTAATCAAAGCAATCTATGCATTATTTCAAAAGTTAATAATAATATTCCAACGCAATGTTCGTCTAAGAAATCGCGTACTTCGCCCAGCCGACATTATGCATATATCCATAGCAGCCTTATTTGATGCACGTTTCAAAAATTTATATCTCTGTATGTACGGTATCTACAATGCTCTAATTCGCACAAAATATTCTTCAATGTTTTGTTTTTACGCAAAAATTCAAATCAAACCAATTTATGCATTTTTTCAAAAGTTATTTGTAATATTCCAACGCAATGTTCGCCTAAGGAATCGCGCGCTTCGCCCAGCAGACATTTTGCATATAACAATAACCGCCTTAAAAGTTCAAGCAAATTTCAAAAATTTGTAAGTCTGTTTATACAGTATCTACAATGCTCTAATTAGCACCGAATATTCTCCCAGGTTTAAACTTTACGCAAAAATTTAAATCAAGCCAATTTATGCATTTTTTCAAAAGTTATTAGCAATATTCCAATGCAATGTTTCACTAAGAAATCGCGTGCTCCACCGAGCGGACATTTTGATTTGCGTGCAATCAACAAAATGGCCGCCTTATAAATAAATATGCTAAAATCGTAAATTATAAACGTTATAGTATTTAAATAAATATATGAATATACGGTTAAGTGTATAGTTTTTCAGAAAATCCAAAAATTTACAACAAAAAATATTTTTATTCTATTTAGGATCACCAATTACTCCTTGCAGTTTTTCCTTTAATTACTAAAGTTTTTTCGTAGTGTTATTTTTTAATTATAATTTTAAAATGTCGGTTGTGTTCTGTGCAAGTTAAGAAGGCAAGAGGTTGAATTAATTAAGATCAGAAAATTTTATTCTTGAGAAACGCAAGTTGTATATATATATAAGAAAGACTACATTCTTAACTTTATAACCGCTCAATAAAACTTTGAGGCGCCTGTTATTTTATACATATACATATACACACATATATATATATATATATATATATATATATATATAAATATATATGTGAAAAAATACCGCGAATTTCGTACAAACTCTTAAGTTAAATTCGTGATGGACTGGCAAATTAGTTTCAATATTTTTGCATTTTGTTATAAACATTTTTGATTTTAGTATTTAGTAGTTTTGATTTTAGTAGTTTGTTAGATACATTAAAGATTAAAATATGTGAATTACTCAAAATTGACAATGTCAAATTCTGTAGAAATCCTGTATATGCGCTTTGGTACTTTTGATGAATTTTAGTGAATATTTTAAAATTTTGTTGCAGACATAATTTATTTGAATACACATAATTTTAGTGGATACTTTGATGATTTACTTGTATAAAGGACATAATTCTAGTTTTTATAATACGACCTGTAGAGCTCTTCAAAATTGACAATGCAAAAAAACAACCAAAATTCAGTTGAAATCTGTATGTGCGATATGGTACTTCTGACGATTTTAGTAAATATTGTAAAATTTTGTTGCAAACATAATTTATTTGAGTACACATAATTTTAGTAGACACTTTGATGATTTACTTGTATAAAGTACTTAATCCTAGTTTTTATAATACGACCTGTAGAGCTCTTTAAAATTGACAGTCCAAAATTTAGTTGAAATCTGTATATGCGATATGGTACTTCTGATAAATTTTAGTAAATATTGTAAAATAACTTATTTTTGTATTTATTATTTTAGTAGACATATTGAAGAATTTCATATGTAAATTATATTATTTTAGTGCTTATAGAATGACCTGTAGAGCTCCTCAAAATTGACATTTGGTACTTCCGATGAACTATTGAAAATATTTTAAAATTTTGTTATAAAAGTTATAAATTTGAGAATTTGTTATTTCAATAGATATATTGAAGATTAACATACGTAAATTTCATAACTTTTGTGCTAATGGTACGTTTTGAAGAGCTCATCAAAATTGACAAATTTAAATTCAGTGTTAAATCCGACTAGTGTGTTTTGTGCTTTCGACGATTTTCAGTAATTATTTTGAAATTTTTAATAAAAGTTATTATTTTAATATTCGTTATCTCAATAGACATATTGAAGATTAACATATGTGAATTTCATAACTTTAGTGCTTATGATACATCCTGAAGAGCTCATCAAAATTAATAAATGTTAAATTCAAATCCGTGGTAGTTCTGAACTTTTTTTGTAGAAATGTTGACGAAGGATTTAGTATGCAATATTAATCCCAAAATGCTATAAATTTAATATATCATTTACTAGAATGTCTACTTTGATGGAAAAAACTAAAACAAATGAAATTTAATTTTTTAGTTAAAAAAATTAATATTTTATTTACAATAGTACACATTTTGTAAGTATACATTTAAACTTGATCCTCAGTGCACATTGTTCAACCTACAATTTCATAACTTTAATATATTATATAACAAAAAATCTACTTTGATGATAAATACTAAAATTAATATATATTTTTTTCAAAATTTTAATAAAAATAACATTTTGCAATAAAAATTGCGTAATAAACGTCTATATTTAGACGTACGGTTTGACAAAGTCTTTCATGCACAAGGTTTGTTCTACAAAGCTATAATTTTAATATAATATCTACCAAGATGTCTACTTTGATGGTAAATACTAAAATCAACACATTGTCTGACAAAGTTTTAATAAAAATAATATTTTTTAAAAAAAAGTGCCTACTCATAATAAACGTCTATATTTAGACTTATGGTTTGACAAAGTCCTTAGTGTACAAGGTTTATTCTACAAACTATAATTTTAATATATTATCTACTATAATGTCTACTTTAATGAGATATACTGAAATCAAACATTGTCTTTCAAAATTTTAAGAAAAAAC